GCGACGCATATTTATTTAATTTTGAGGAAAACCAGACTCGAGCGCCAATATATAAATACTGTTCAGGATTCTACTGAAAAATACCTTTCCGATGGTATACTTTAGTAACTCCAGAGCGAGGAGTCACTAAAGTAGACAATTACCAAATTAAAGGCTACTGTCCTAATGTCGTATTAAAATTTCATTTCAGATAGGAACAAAGCTTCATGGTAAATCAGAACCATCACAACACTCATTTTTACTGCCTTATAAAGTACACATTCCAGTTAAAACATCCAACGGCAAAATAATATCAGTAGTTGCCGATAAAGAAGCAAAGTTCCTTGGACCTATACATGAAATAGACAACTTTGCAGATAGCTTTTCATATGCTTTAACAATTTTTTTTTTCAAAATTGCAGATGTTGCATTCTAACGTGTGGTGATTACTCTTTTTGTGCAATTTTTAGCAAAGAGAAATACTGGATTTTTGATAGTTGAAGTTTGGGTTGCGAACACCCTTCGTTACACCGCCGAAAATGACGAATTTTGAAACGTTTTTCTGCAATGGAAATGGCAATAAAGATGTAATTTTTATTGACAAAAACATTAGTGATACAAGAGGCATCTGTTGAACTGAAAGATGTGACACTGAATCAAACATAAGAACAATCAACTTAAACAAGCAGGCCCGCCCTTCCGCCAAACGAAGTTGCCAGCTTCACTTCGCTGCGCCGGGACCGGGAACTCCGTTCGGCAGGGGCCGGGCCTGCTTGGCCTGCCGGCGGCGATGGTCGGGCCTGCGGCCCGACCATTTCTGTCAAGCGATTTGCAGTAGAACATAATCAAATGATGTAACGGGCCTTCGGCCCGCAAAGCCCGTCGTCCTTAAAATTTGCCCCGCAGACACGAGAAAGGGATGAAACGGCGAAACAACGCGACTACAACCCACCCTTCTGCGAAGGAAACGTGTTTTGGGGTGGGGGGAGGGAGTTTCTTACCTCTTTTGCGGTTTTGGGCCTTCTTTTACATTTAATTGTTCACTACAGCAATTTTTAACTTATTTTCGTCAAACAAGCCCCTCTAGCGCCTAAACGGTTAGAGATAGAGCCAAACGGACTCAATTTTCGTTCGCAGGACTCTACTTTGGCAAGTTACCCCGTACACGTAGAAAAAAAATTAGCTGTGCAGCTAAAACTTAGCTGCACGGCTAATTCCAGTAGCTATATATGGACAGCTAAAATGATAGCCATACAGCTAAACTAGCTATATGTACGCCAGACCACGTCTCGCGTAACAGGCTTCGCGATATCTCACGAAACACTGATACGCTGCGACGCGCCTGGCGCACATATAGCTAGGCCTGCGGCGCTGACACCCGAGATGAGTTAACAGAAGTGTAAATACAATTTGTCGATGTTAAGTATTTTTTTAACGATTCAATAGACTATTTGGTCATTTTCACCTCATTTTTGTCAAGAAATGCCCCCTAGCACCCAAACGGT